GAAAAGTTGAACTTCTCCAGAAAATTTTAATCTCTACGTTTTGTGTGTCTGCCGTCTCCCTTACCGACACGGTGCGCTGCTCGAGGCGCTGCACGGCCGCCAGGATCTCCTCGCCGAGCGCCTGGCCCACGGGCACCACGGCCACGGCCTCGCCCGGCCCGGGGCCGCCGCCCACGCCCGGGTGGAAGGTGAGCTCCTGCAGCGTCTTCTGGATGCCGGACAGCGTGGCCCCCTGCCTCTCGGCGGCCGTGGAGGACCGCTTCTCCATCTGCAAACAAGCAGCGCGTCGTTCAACATCTTTCACGACGCCGAAAAGTGAGAGTAGCGTTTCGTCAGTCGCAGTGGCAGTAGTGTGGCTTCACGCAAATAATTCAAGCTCGGCAAAATGTCATAATTTTCAACAACAAAATTTTTGAGTGTTGGAATTTTTTTTTAATTTAAATTTACTAATTCAAGTTGGGGGGTGGGCGTCGCTGTTGTGTACACAGCCGGCCGGGCCGTGCTCGCGTGGCTCTGCCGATAAGAGAGCCAAGGCGATAGACAGCTCCGCTCTGCCACAGCAGCCCTTGGCTCCCGGCGACCCAGCCGGGACAGGCCACGGCCCCCGCGGCCTTGACTCGAGCGGCACGACGAGCACTGCGTGTCGAGTCACTGCCCCGCCCTGACCGTGCGCAACATACGCGCGGCCCGCCGCTGGGCCCGAGAGAGGGAAGAGAGAGCGAGAGAGAGAGAGCGAGAGAGATTTGCGCCAAGTCACACTTATTGGCAGAGTTTCGAGGCTGTTTTTCTTTACGCCAAATCCATTAAGAGCGTAAAATTGACATTTTGATATTATTTTAAAATAAAAAAGTAAACTTTTAATGAAAGTAATAATGATTGTTTGTGTCTTACGTCCTTGATAGAGGCCTCCATCTTGGCCAGGCGGCCCTCCAGGTGCCGCAGCGGCTCGTCCACCGAGTTGAGCCTGCGGTCCACGCCGGTCAGCGACCGCTTGAGGGTCTCGGCCACCTGCTGCTCGCGCCGGTCGTGGCCCGAGAGCTTGTCGGCCGACTCCTTGGTGATGTGCGCCAGCGCCAGGATGGCGGAGCGCAGGTCCTCGTTGCTGTGGGAGAAGGACACGGGGAGAAATTACAAGCCGTATATAGCTGAACCAATATAGCTAAATGAGGGATAGCCAATTATTTATCCATGCAGATAAAAACTTGGGTATGCTTGTTGAGTTACATAGCTAAATTTTGTGACAGCTTCATTTCTAGCTAAATATTTGGTTATCTCCTATCTAGCTATACTAGGAAGGGAATTCTTTTTCGTTCTAGTTTAGCAGCACGCCGAGGCACCCCGCCGAGAAACTATAGTTAGAATAATGGAAACGATATTAAAACGATATTCGGATTTTTTTGCTCTTTTCGAAGCAGTTTCGACAGTAACTCGTTGGTACTCACGTCACTTCCCGGGCCGCCCTTGCCCCGCAGCACACCAGCGCCAACAGCGGCAGCGCTCGGAGCAGCATGGTATCCGCTGTGGTCTCTGAGCACAAAAATGATCACCATATTACGACTGCTTATTTCTCTTTTTCAAGCAACTCAAGTCAGCGGTAGGACCAACAAGAAAGATATTTTTTTGAGTGTGTGAATTTTTTATTTTCCGTGATTGTAAAATTTCCTGACAAGAGAGATGTGTCGTGTGACTTGTCGCAGTGTGATGTGGTGTTGTAGACGTCTCCGTTTAATTCAGCGTGAGGTACTGCATACATACAGTGAGTGCTGTGCCGCCGTTGTGCGTCATTTGTACTCGTTTGTACTCAGTTGGCAGCAATGAGACGAACCCAATTGTCGCCTCCGATGTGCCCCCCCCCCCCCCCCTCCTCCCCCCTCTTCGCTAGCGCACCACTTGCATCCACACAACTACTTATGGGCTCTGAGGCTAACCACTCTCGCGGTCCCTGCAGGGTGGCTCCTTAGGGATCATCCAGAAAGTACGTCCGTCATTCGCCGTGACAAACCCTAAAAATTAAGGCAATGCAAGCTCTCATGGCGCCTGATGGGTAGGCACAATCTTGCATGCCGTGCATGCGTGTATTGCGGGGTGGCCTACCCCGAGTTTTGCAGGCGCCGAGCTTCTCTGTAGTTTGCAGGATGATTTTGAGAGAAACGGTCGTACTTTCTGGACGATCCACTTACACCAGTGTTTAGTCGCGCACCATCTCTTTCTCTTCTTACTCTCCTCCACCCAGTATGACAGAGCCCCATGAGTACTGGGTGTCCAGGGTAAGACATGCCTGAACGTTGGGTTACCTATCCTATGCACTGGCTGCAGGGGCTGCAGGCCCGAGCGGGTGGAGGGGGAGCGGTGGGGGACATGCCACTTCCCCGCTACCCACCACGCACCTGCAGCCCCCGCAGCCAGTGCATAGGCAAGCCAACGTACTGGCATG